TGTCACGGTAGGCGTTGGCACGATAAAGATCCCTCACTGCTCAATGGCCCTGAGTGCCGAGTAAAGGTCAAAATTTGAAGCCCTTCACAGGTATATGGTGACGTCTCTATATGAGTGAAAAATTCTCGAATGGGACGTAAAACAACACATAATCAATCAATCAATCCAGACAATGAGTTCAGTACACAATGCCCTGTCATACTGGGAACAAATGTGATCAGATATTACAAAGATATTGTTTCAGATGTTGAAGATCTTCCACAAGCTTGGAAGCTAGCAGTCAACAGCACGGGAGGATCTTACTGTGTGCGGTCAATGAGTAAAAAGCCCATTATTGTGGAGCCATACCAATCCCATGTAGTTCAAGGTCTGGTAAGAGGAGTTAAGAGTGAGAATACTCAGTATATTACTGAAAGTTTTGACAATGAGTCTAACTACATTGTTCGTCCAAGAGTGGTAAAGGTGGATACTAAGGCAAACAGCAGTAGAATTCAAGTGAAAATCTGCAATATTACTGCAAAGTCTATTACTATAAGACCTAAGTCTGATGTGTGTCAGCTTAATCAAGTTAACATAGTGAACAACTTAGTTTCTCAGAAGCTTTCTGGTAGCACTGTATATATTGAGCACAATTTGTCAAATTTACCAGATGTACATATTGACAAGAAAAACTTGACTACTGAACAAAATGAGCTTTTCTCAAATATTTTATGCAAATGGAGTCATGTCTTTTCAAGAATCTCTAATGACCTAGGTAAAACAGACTTAGTAGAACACCGGATTGTTTTGGAAGATGATAGACCATTTAAGCAACCATATCGGAAAATTCCACCTGGGATGTGTGATGAAATTCGCCAACACATCAACGATATGCTGGAAGCAGGAGTAATTAGAGAATCAGACAGCCCATTTTCTTCAAACGTGGTACTTGTAAGAAAGAAAGACGGTAGTCTAAGGTTTTGTCTAGACTATAGAATACTCAATTCTAAGACCAGGAAAGATGCATATATGCTTCCCAGATTTGATGATGTAGTAGATACTTTATCAGGATCCAAATTCTTTTCCAAACTCGACTTGCGTTCTGGATATTGGCAAGTGGCCGTAGCTGAAGAAGACAAGCCAAAGACAGCATTCTCCGTTGGAAATTTAGGATTTTACGAATGTAACCGCATGAGCTTTGGTCTTACCAACGCATCCGTCACATTCCAGCGACTGATGGAGAAATGTATGGGAGACATGTTACTGAACATGCCTTATTTTCTTGGATGATATCTTGATATTTTCGAAAACATTTGAGGACCATATAAGTAGATTAGAATCTGTCTTTGGGAAACTATCAGAACATAATTTGAAACTTAAGCCTTCTAAATGTGAATTTTTCAGGTCTTCAGTTACCTATTTAGGTCATGTTGTGGGAGAGAACGGAATTTCGGCTGATCCAGAAAAGTTAGCAGCAGTTAAAGACTGGAAAACCCCACAGAACATCAAGGAATTGAGACAATTTTTAGGATTTTCAGGGTACTACCGTAGGTTTATTAAAAATTATTCTCAGATTGTCCAACCTTTAAATTCTTTATTACAGGGACATAATACAGTAAGAAGATTCAAAAGGAAACACGAAGAACCAGCTTGGAAATGAGAAATTATCCATCAGAGAGCGTTTGAAAGCATCAAAGATTTACTTACCCAGCCACCAGTGTTAGCATATGCAGACTACACCAAGCCATTCATTGTACATACAGATTCCAGCAGTTATGGACTAGGCGCAGTTCTATATCAGAAACAAGACGGATTAGACAAAGTAATCGCCTATGCAAGCAGAGGGTTAAGACCAGCTGAGCGAAACTATCCTGCTCACAGGTTAGAGTTTCTGGCCTTGAAGTGGGCCATTACTGACAAATTCCACGATTATTTATATGGAAACCAATTTGAAGTAGTTACCGATAACAATCCGTTGACTTACGTACTATACAAAGCAAAATTAGATGCAACCAGCCAAAGATGGGTTTCTGCTCTTGCAAATTACAATTTCAGTATTTCTTACCATCCCGGAAAATTCAACTCGGATGCAGACGCTCTTTCCAGAAAATCTTATTTATATTCAGACTCAGTTAAAGCCATTTGTAATTCAGCTTCTTTAGATATTTCAGCTGCAGAAACACTATCACAGAATTTTCAATTTCAGTATTTCTTACCATCCCGGAAAATTCAACTCGGATGCAGATGCTCTTTCCAGAAAATCTTATTTATATTCAGATTCAGTTAAAGCCATTTGTAATTCAGCTTCTTTAGATATTTCAGCTGCAGAAACACTATCACAGAATTTTCCATCGGATGAGATTACAGCAACAGAAATGTCAGACATCGACTGGAAGAAAGAACAGAGAGAAGATAAAGTCATAGCCAGAGTCATGGAGATTTTAGAGCAGGGAGAGAAGGGTAGAAAAGAATCAAAAATGGTTCAAAAATATTTAAGAGAGAGAAAGAAACTGCAGATCATCAATGAGATTTTATATAGAAATTCCTTTTTAGATGGAGAAAAAGTTGTTCAACTTTGTTTGCCAGATCATTTCAAAGATGTAGTTTTTGTTGGAATTCATAAAGAAGTAGGACATCCTGGAATAGAGAAGACCATTTGGCTTGTGAAGCAGAGAGTGTATTGGCCAGGGTTAGAGCAAGACATCAAAACCAGGGTAGAGAACTGTGAAAGATGCATAAGAAGTAAAACACCTGTCAGACAGAGAGCCAATCTTCATCCAATTACTTCAACAAAACCTTTAGAAATTCTTTGTATTGATTTTCTGTCCTTGGAGAAATGTAAAGGGGGGTTTGAAAATATTCTTGTAATTACAGACCACTTTACCAGATATGCATGTGCTGTCCCATTGAAAAACCAATTAGCAACAACAACAGCTAAAGCTTTATTTGAAAATTTCATTGTTCATTACAGTTTTCCTGATCGACTCCATAGTGACCAAAGTAGAAACTTTGAAAGCAAAGTAATAAAAGAATTCTGCAAAATAGCCAACATCAAAAAGTCAAGAACAATGCCATATCATCCTGAAGGCAATGGAGCAGTCGAACGATTCAACCAAACTCTTATCAAAATGTTAAGTTCTTTAGAAGAAAATCAAAAATCAGATTGGAAATCTTATGTTTCATCTTTAGTACATGCTTACAATTCAATTAAAAATGATGCCACTGGGTATTCACCACATTTTTTAATGTTTGGATGGCACCCTCGCCTGTCACTTGATGCATTTTTAGGTATAGAGCCAGGAAATGAAGGAGCAAAAGATCACCAGTCCTATGTTCATAAACTTCAAGAGAGATTACAGTACTCGTACAGAGTTGCAGCAGAAGAGTCACAGAAGAATGCAGACAAAAGCAAAGAGAATTTTGATAGGAAAGTGAAGAATTCAAAGTTAAAAGTAGGGGATAGAGTTCTTGTTAGAAAAGTTGGTTTTAAAGAAAAACATAAGCTTGCAGACAAGTGGGATAAAGATGTTTATGTTATTTTAGATATTCCAAATCTAGATATCCCAGTTTATGTTGTTAAGCGTGAAGACGGGAAAGGGTCTACCCGTACCCTTCATAGAAATTTTCTTTTACCTTTCAATTGTTTACCAACTAATATTAATTCTTCTCCAGTTTCTAAACAGGTCAAAAAGAATCAGAGTCATCAGACCATAGCCACCATTTCTTCAGATGATTCATCTCAGAGTTCTTCAGAGTCTTCAGATGAGAGTGATAGAGGAGTGTACATAATTCCACAGCGTCGTCATAGACAAAACACTCAGTCCTCTCTACAGCATTCATCTACTTATCATTCTTCTTTCTATGACCACTCTACAATACCACCTTCCTATTCTGAATCTTCAGTGTCAGTTATTTCACCAACATATAATACACCACCTCCTAGAAGAACATCTAGAGTAAGTAGACCACCACAGAGATACAGAGAGTGGCAGTTTGTCCAAGATGTGAGCCAGAAATGTTTTTATATTATATAGAGACACTCGTATAGTTACAGCAGAGATATGATACTGAATGTAACATAAGGTGAAGACACCTGTGTAGTTTGTCAGTGTGTTTGTATTTATAGATTTTTTTTATGAAGTTACACTTCTAATCATTTTTTTAAATATGTATTATAATAAGTTATGTATATATATATATAACAACAATGAAGTTTATTCTTCTTCAGTGTCATTACTGATGTATGATAGTATAATTTTTATGACCTCTTGACCCATGCCCTGGTACCCTTGCTTGAATTATGACTTATAAGGTAATGTCAGGAGCCATTTTCTCCTGGCAGGGGAAATATGTAACCAGGTGTTAGATATTGGATCCACCTACTTGTCGTTGGTCTCTTCATTGTCTGTTCGTCACGTGATTTAGGGTAATAGAGAGAAAAGGGTGTATGAGAGAGAGAGAGTGAGTGGTGTTCATAATACTAACCAAAACCTGTTCTTTAAATTACCTGCCATACCTATCCATGCACGCCGTCTAGGTAGACGCATCTAGGGTCATGTAGGTTAGTAAGCTTTTTATCTATTTATCATTATATTAATAATTTCATAGTTTTCAGTTATACATTTGATTTAAGCAATTTATTTATCCGTGAAGTTGATATTGTTATATTAACGGATATTTAAAGTAATTGAACTGAGTGTAAAGTATAGTATAAATGTAAAGTATGTTGTATGTATGTTGTAGGTTTAATCCATAATATAATTTACAAAAACCCAAGATCTGTTTGTATGAATTTCTACCGACGGGTTACAAAAATTTATATAGCGCTCTATCAATCTTTCGTCCTCTAAAGCGTTTTACAATTAAATATATCAAAAGAGACAATGTTTAAAATACCTAAAAAAGACGTGAATAAAATTAATCATAATGTCTCTATCTAAATATAAAGCCATATTTATATTAAGAAATCACAAATTATGCCCCCTTAATTAAGCGCTGTAATCTTAAATTCTAATACTTACCCGTTGTAGTGTTTGAATCACTAACAGCAGAGGGTTCTACAATGTGAAATTACAGTACCCGTTTACAATATTGTATGTGTAGGTTTCTTATGTGTAACATATATATTTCAGTATAAATCTTTAAAGGGTCAAGATAAGTTATTATCTTTTTTGTTAGGATATATAATCGGGTGATTATATAATATAACCCTTTTATATATATACTGTTGATATACAATGAAAATATTGTTTAATATAATAATTCAATGAAGCCATTTACGTACGAATTGTAATGTGCTCCAAAGTAGATATACCCCCCCCCCCCCCAACCGCAAAAAAAAAATAATAAATAATAATAATAAAATAAAATAAAACAAAAACAAACAAAACAAACCAAAAGTAACAAACAAATAAAAAAGTCCTAACAAAAAGATTTTAAAACCGTCCTTGAATAGTTTAATATGGACTATTTCATGACTTTATTATTCATCACGCTATTAATGAATTACGTTATTTTACTTAGACTCTATAATTGTTTTCCCTATAAGCATTGTGACGTCATTGCATTGTTGTTGGCGTTATCATCAGGTAGCGTTATAACGTCGCATGTTTGAATTGTTTTCTAACGTAAAACGTCTGAAGAAGTAATGAAAGCGCTTACGTTTTAATAACATTATTGGCTTGTTATTTTTTAATTTTATATTAATTACCGGACACTGTGATATTTCTTTTCATTTTTGGATATATATATATATATATATATATATATATATATATATATATATATATATATATATATATATATATATATATATATATATATATATATATATATATACATACAATTCTATACTGCAACTGATACCTCACGAAACATGGAATTAAAATAATATGGTAATAGGAATTAATTACTAATTCTAAACAATATTAATTCCATGCATTTACACAATTCATGTACTCGAACTTACCATTCGTGCTATTCGTTACTGCATTAGTAGTAGTTGATATATGAGCTAAATGAAAGATAATCAATTAATATAATGTAGAACAATTTACATCTACCATTCATTGATTTGTAGACCAAATAAATCAATTATATATAAGATGTTTACATCTGAAAAAAAAAGCATTGCTAAATTATAGGTGGATAAATAAAAATTTGATCAGAAATTAAGTACCTTTTCTTGACAAAATTGATTGAAATTTAGAAATTAATATTCAAATTAAGTCAGTTAAAATCTGATCTTTTATTTGTTGATGATCTGCTGTATGACAGAAGACATCCTCACAACGTCAGGTGTCCTGTGTCAACTCGTTACTGTGGGAACCCTGACAAATTTCATTTGATATCTTACGGGCTGACTGCAGCGGCGAGGTCTTTCGAGAAAATTAAAAATCTTGATTGTTGTTCTTATCTCTCAACCAATCACATTAAACATTTCGGTGATAATCAACGCGTGCATTTGAGGCCTTTCTGTTTACATTATCTGTCTACTTCAATGTCAACTAAAATACCATAAAAATTTGGGGAAAAAACTACAGAGACTGTAAACATACAATTAAAACTCAATTGCGCTAATTCATAATTGCACTAATCAATCTAGGAGTATAATTGCACTAATACACGAATGTTTACAGTATATACCCTTTCAGTAATATCTCTATATTAGGCTACAAAAATTAATATTATAGTTTCTCAGGCAAAGCCGCATCAAATCAACCATTGTCGCATTCATCAATTTTATTGACGTATTTGAAAAGGGAAATAACTAAATTTTCTATTTTTGCCAAGTTAAAAAAGAATTTGAGTTATTCCCCTTTTCAATCACGCAAATAGATGACAGAATCAATTAAAATAAATAAATAAATCAACAAACAAAACAAAAAAACAAAAAAAAAAAACCCAGAAGTCTCTAATGAGACTGTAGCTCTACTGGTCTACTGGAGGAGTAACGTTTTGAAAGTATTTTACAGAAATTTCTAGTTTTAGTTACCATGACACCACCATTCACTGAAATCAAAAACCGAAAATACATATTATGTATCGTAGTGTATTCTAATTGTGTGCCAAATTAGATTGAAATCAGCCCAAAACTGTAGGAAGAGTAGCGTTTTAAAGGAATTTCACAGAAATTTCTATTTTTAGTAACCATGGCAACACCGTTCATCAAAATCAAAAACCGATGCACTAAATTATGTATCTTAGTGTAGTCTACTTATGTGCCAAGTTATATTGAAATCAGACTAAAACTGTAGGAGGAGTAGCGTTTTAAAGGAATTTCACAGAAATTTCTATTTTTAGTAACCATGGCAACACCGTTCATCGAAATCAAAAACTGATGCACTAAATTATGTATCTTAGTGTAGTTTACTTGTGTGCCAAGTTATATTGAAATCAGACCAAAACTGTAGGAGGAGTAGCGTTTTGAAAAATTGTTTACAGACAGACGGACAGACAGACGGACGGACGACGGACACCTTACTATCGCATAAGCTCTTCTGGTCTCTGACCAGTAGAGCTAAAAACTGCCTGCTGCATTGAATTTTGAAATTTTTGACCTGAGAAAGTAAAGATTACATTTTTGACCTTATTAACAATTATTTAACTTTAACATTGGATATTACAGTATAAAATGTAGCAGGTCTGATATTAAATTCTGATTGATGTTTCTGTGTATTTTACTGAATGAATGAGTAATTCATTTAATGTACAAATGCACTACATCAATTTTAAAATCATTCTTCTTAATCCAAAATATGGTAATTACTAACAGTTAAGAATGTAGGCATGTTTGAAGGAAGAGTATAAGAAATGTTTTATAAACCCTTTTAATGGAAATTTATACAATTAAAGCAGCTGTCACACAGCACACGCATACTATTGAGAAGGTGTCACATTATCATTTGATGACATAACATAACACTAAAACTGTGTCATCGTTCTAATGTTTGTGAAAGTAAACAATTCAGAGAGAGAGAGAGAGAGAGAGAGAGAGAGAGAGAGAGAGATTCAGAATGTTTCATATTTAACAAGTAATCTCTTCTTAGCATACAAACGTTACGCTCGATGTTGGTGCCATTTTACAATTTTAGTACCTGACCTATTAAACCCATCCGGTGATAATAAAAAAAAAATACTCGCAATATGGGTGATTTGGGTATGAATGGATAGGTTTTGAATAAAACTACCCGATTCCAGTCAGAAATATAACATTTAATAAATTTTATGCAAAATATTAAATTTTTACAGCGCAAATAAAAGGTATTTTAAGCGTGTAACGCGTTACATATTTTATGCATTTATCGCGCATTTTTCTTGTGTAGAGTGTTCAAAAATAAATCTAGAGTTTTCATTTTCTTCACAAAACAAGAGGAATCCATGTAGTTTGTGACTTCATTAGCGATTCTGTATTCCATGGTGGCAAGAAAAAAAAGCGATAGTTTTTACATAATAAGAATCTGTAACGCTATTAATCAAAAACGTGCATATGAATATAGAGATTAAATTTACTCATTTACTAAAAAGTTTAAATAGAAACATTTTATATCAAAATAATGTGCTTTTCTCATATATTTTAAATATTTCATTAATGTTGATATTAATTCGCATGCTTTGTAGCTAATATATGGATTACAAGTTCAACAGAAATGTCCAGCGTCTAAAATAACTGGAAAAACTCAGATCAAGCCGTTTTTCGAGGGGTTAAATTCTATTTTTTTTCATCGATTATAAAAATAATTATATGATGTGCTAATTTGGTTTGAACATATTTTATTGTAATTAATAAATACAATGGGATTGGGCACAAGTTCTGAAAACTTATTACGCCCTCTCCCTACATGTAAATTACATATTTAAATCGTCACAGTTAAACATGAAGTTTTAAAGTATACAATAATTGCAATAATGTGCTAATTTAAACTATCACATTGGATGTCACATTGATAAATTTACTCTGTGAATTAATATTTTACGCAACATTTAAGAGGTTCAACATATTTGTCCGGTGCACGTTCTTGACGCGTAATTCGTTTTTTTCAACGTAATGCATGAAAGTGCGTTTGAGAAAGCTTTGAGTAATTAACAAACTTTATCAGATACAAATCGAAAGCACCCTTTTTGTTCATTAGTTTAATTACAAGTAGCCTATGATTTTTTTTTTTACTCATATTTCAAGTACAAAGAGATAGCGATAGGGTACCAGTCAAGCTTGTAACACTATTACATTGTTGTTCAGCATTACCTCCATTTTCCGTAGCGCTGTGAAAGCGTAACGTCAAACGTCACAAACATTGCGCGTAACGTCACACAGAACAATGCATTCATTCTTCCAACATATAACACATACATTCAACGATGTATATAACACATGCGCTTTATATACTCACACTGTGAAATATACTGAAAGGAAAAAGAAACGCAGGGTAAACTTTTTAGGTGAAATAAGGTTTTATATTTCAGACGTATTTTCCAGTTATCCTATATAACATTTAAAATCATCTTTAATAAAAATGTAACTAAAATCTCATTTGATTTTCCCTAATAATTCATGAGATATTGAAACTCATATGACGGTACCCCCCCCCCCCCCCCAAAAAAGTGAAAATGAAAATTCTCATTATCTCACATGTCTCCCTCGCGCTTCTGTCACAGCCTTGATTCTCCTATGCATGGAGTTCTTCAGTGTGTTTATCCTTCTAATAAGGATATTTTCAACCCTTCCGACAGGCAGCCCTTAGTTGACTGAGACCAGCTTGGGCATTTTAAACCCTATCGTCCACGTAGTCCCACAGACGTTTGATGCGAAAAAAATGGACTTGACAGAGACTAGTGAAGTGGATAAATGCGATTGTTTGCGAGAAAATCTTGACAAACCCTTGCAGCATTGGGAGGGGGTTAACATGCCCAAAAGAATAGGCAAACGAAGCACACATGCGCGAGTTAGAGGAACACTTACGTAAAGTTGACGAGCTCACAAACCAAAATCACGCCATCGATTTCCTTCAGTTTTGGGGTGAATGTAACGATTATGATAGCCTGCTGTATTAATAGCAGTTTTAGGGTAGTGTGGTGGTGATTATACAGGTGGCAGGATGAATAGCCCAATCTTGACGTGGCGCTGTTACGCGTCAACGTCATCGTCACGGTTGGTTGGAAACCTTTCTACGCCCTCTTTGAGGACGGGTAAGACGTTCTGTTGTGGAAAAATTCACAACGAACTGCAGAGAAACCTGTCGTTGCCTTTGTCCTTACTTAGGCTATGCAATAGCCAGACCCCATGGTACTTCCGCCAACCGTACCTTGATTTCAAGAAATGCAAATCGACTGTTAATATTGAAAAACGATGTGTGTAACTAGAGATTGTTCTATCTGGCATATCCGTATAAGTGTAACGAAGTGTTTTCGGTCGGTTACTGTAGTGATAGTTTCTGAAAATAGATGACCAAGATGAAAATATATTTCTATGATGTTTTATTCTTGGTGTTCCCGCATAAAGTGACAATTATATAATGTATGATAAAAGACGACATATAAAGACAAAAAGATAATAAACAATGAGTCTTTGCAACCTATGCAACGTATATAAAATGACCACATTACATAATACATAATGAGTCGTTGCACAATGAAGATTGATGCAACTTATATATATAGACAGCATATTAACCTTGACCTTACATGTGCATGTCATATATAATATAAACATGTACATATCAATAAAATAAACAATCAAAAGTGGGAAAATTAACCTAAATGGAAGAAATCACTTGGCCATGAAAAGGTACACAATTTATGAAGACTATTTATAATGTTTGATAGTGATGACCCTTTAAACATGTTAAAGTCAGATAGAAATTTGCTTGATCATAATAAATTTCAATAAGATTTAATAATTTGGAATGATTACTAACGCATTTCAATTACCAAAAAGAATAAAATGATGCACGCACATAGATTGCATATACTTAAGCTTACAGACTAGTATCTAATGTATACAAACATTAAGTGCACATGCACTATGTCATAACAAACCTCAGATGTTCAAATAAAATGATAATCATGGAACTGCACATAAAATACATGATGCTATAGAAAATATTATATGCTTACATCATAATTCTTGAAGGATCGTATGAGAATTTAAAGAGATATTTATCGTTAAACAACAAAACATCTTTTCGCAGTTTCAACTTCATGTTGTAAACAGAGAGTAAATTTAGGAATGATCACATGACTCGAAAGTTTCCGGAGACACAGTTAACATATTACAGTATCACAGAATTTGCTAAAATTATGTAAAAAACATTATTACAGAACCAAAGTAGAGTTTTTGTTAAAGATTAAATTATTTGAGCCAATATAATTATGATAATTTTGACATTAGGAAAGTTGTAACGCATTTCTATGTTATTACAAGTAAAATACAAGAAAAATACCAAAAATAATTTGTTTTATCATGTAAATAATGAAATGCATAAAATAATAAATCACATCTGACTATAGCAGTTTGAAATAATAATTACATTTATAACACAAATATTAAAGTATATATAAAAAATTAGTGTCCTACCTGAAAATAGATGACCAAGATGAAAAAATATTTCTATGATGTTTTATTCTTGGTGTTCCAGCATAAAGTGACGCACTGGGTACCCGACGTAGAAATTGACTTGGTCAAGGTGAGGGACACAAAGGGGATTAATTAGAAAAACATTGAGTAAACTGTTACATTTTCCTATCGAGGGCCTCATTAAAAAAAAGATAGGTACAAAGGCGAGAGGACAAAGACAGGTAATCCGATAGGCTGACATTAATTGAGTCAATCCGACATCAAACGAACTTCTTAATTGAATTGCGTAATACTGCGTAAAGGTATTTTTGGTAAATAATGGTAGATGTACTCATGACAGCCAAAAGGTGATAATATTTGAGAAACTTCTTAATTTTCTTACTGTTAGATACAAAGTTCAAATAGCCATTGTCTGTAATTAAATAGAAAATTGGGAAAAACATGCGACAGGAAAATGAGTGAACCAAATAAAGAAATTTGAAATGAGATAATAAAAATTAATGAATTGAATTTCAAAATAATTATTAAAATATTAAGAATAATAAAAATTTCTCAGATTGGTCAATTTGACCTTATGATATAAGAATCCGTATCCGTATACGTATCGAGCTCAGAAAGGCATCTCGATCCCGATGTCTAAAATATTTACTATAATTTCCATCGTTATTTGTTTGGTTTTAAAGCAGCCCCATTCATTTAAGAATAGCATATGGTATTTTTTCTAATAAAAATGTATTAAGCTGCTGTAAAAGTTTGTTATTTCGCTGGAAAATTTAAAAAAAAAAATGGATAATGAAATTCAATCAATTTGTATTTGTTTTCATTATATTGTTTAAAACTTTAATTGCAATTTTGTTTAAAAACATTTATCGGGATCCCCCTCTCTCCCTCTTAACATCAGGACATTTTATTGATTGATTCTGTAATTTACATTAGATGACATAAAAGTTAACCCCCTCACTCACACACTAAATGAACGTTGATATCCACACGATCAATAAAACCGTGTAGCAATTTTCTAAAGAGAATCTGCTTCCAGACCCTTATCAGCATATGCTTAAAAATGCCAGCCTCCCCCCTCCCCCCCGGAACATGCACACACAAACTTTCATATCTTCTGTTGACTTTCTTCATTCTTTTTTTTTTCAATGAACTATTTGACAAATACCTGTACGTCTCCCCTTCCCCTCCCCAGTTGAAATTGCTACTTTCGGGTCTATTCTCACACGGCTTGATTTTGTTTTATATTTTGTCCTTTCAGCAGAAATAACTTGAAAAGACTTCATGGCGACAAAAATAGGTAATGAAATGAAAATTCAATTGTTAAATTTGATTTTTCTTTTTAGTTCTCTTGTTGTCGTACATGTGTATTATAATTCATGGTTTGATATAAAACAAAAATAGGGTATTCATTATCTTATCTCTCTTTTTATAAGAAAGAAAAGAACATTAGACTAAAAAATGCCAAAACAATAGATTTATCTATTTCTTCTATGCTGCCTTGTCCATCCAGCTGATTTTTATTCATTTATATTTATATTTATTTATTTATTTATGCATTTTGGCCCAGATTGGGACAAGTGTGAGTCAGTTCATAGAAATAAATAGAAGAGGCTGCTTCAACGTAGCAGAGAAATAAAAAAAAACACAGAATAAAGGATAAAATTTATACAAAACATTTAATTGATAAAATATCAGCTTTTTTTAAGAGTTTTGATCCCGCTTGTACACAAAGAAACATCACCTTCATTTCAATAAATCATTTACGGAGGGATTCTTGTCTGGTTTCTAACTAGATGAAATATACTAGATGAAAATAGATGAAAATAAGAAAAAGTTAAATATAGGAAGCATATAAAAATAACTAAAATATCTTAAAATTTTATGAAAAATAGAGAAAATTCGGATTAGCCAATATCCATTTAAGTTAAATTATTTATGTCAATTTGGTAATATCATCTTATAGACCCTTTATAGTAATATCTCTCTATGCAAAAAGAAAAACATTTAATTTATTGAAATAGAAGTAGGCATCGAATGATTGGCAACAGTAATTTTTTATTCTTAATGTCCAGGGAAAAGGTACTGACCTTGACCTGACCTTGCCTCTAATATAAAACGGTCAAATTTAATCTAACTGATACCATCACTTAGTGATATTGTTTTCTTGATTCTGTGAAAATTTCATTGATTTTTAAATATAAGAAATAAGCGTTCTTATGAGAAGAATCCCTCCTTAAGTAAACTTTAGTCAACATGTATATAAAGTAATGTATAAGACATAAAAAATTTTCTCCGTTTATCTCCTTTTATCGACAATTGTTAATTCATCCCCGACAAAAACTGCGTGTAATTGCATCACTTTCGGAAATCGTAGTCCTTTCTCGAGCTCTCTGGAATTTCGGATACGGCTATCACCTAACAATTTAGGGAATTTAGAGTCTTCAAACCACCCCAGAATTGCCAGTTTTCCAAAGCTTTTCTGGAGAACTATGTCCATCAAATATAATCAAATGATATACAGAATGTTGATAATGATAAAAAAGAAAATTAGGATGGAAATTTTCAGTGACCTCCCCCCCCCCCCCCCCACACACACACAGAGTATGTAGTATTGTCACCTTTTTATTGTCAAAGTTTTGATAAGGTGACTTGTCATTTTTTAGTTTCTCCCTGCCTCGTCAGATAGAACAATCTCTACTAAAGTGCAGCAAATGGTACTACGAGATATGTTGAAAAACATGTCGTCATCGATATGCGCGTGTTTTCGGCTTTTTACAACTTTCCTTATATGACGTCATACATTTCACGGTTGAGAAGTTCGGAACACTGATTTTAATGTACAGTAACAAAGATATCCCTCTGACCAATTTTCATAATTTTCGGTTATACAGTCAAAAAAATTTCGCATATTATGTTACCCTGCGTTTCCTTTTCCTTTCAGTATATGTTCTCTTCTTACATATATAACATTTATATGTGACAATGCATAATACATGCTTTATATACATAAATCGCCTTACCAGTAGAACTGCTCCCGGTAGTATCACCGCTGGAAGTCGCAATTTCATCTAACAAACGAGGATTTCTATTTTTAATTACATTAATGATATGCTAAATCTTTTTCTTTGAAGACAAAACCCGAAATGAATTCAATCAATCTTCAATAAACTCCACTTCTTAGAATTTCAACAGTGAAATACTTTGATTAATTTATTGAATAAAGTGATATTTTCTCACAGTGTGAAAGGATACCAAAGTGATATTCTCTCACAGTGTGAAAGGATATCAAAATGAGTAAAAATAATTTTTGTTCTTTAATAAGACAGAGATGGTAACAAAACCATCTTGATGGAGACTAAAACTGCCAATTTCTTTCCAAATATGTTGCTAAAATCCATGTTACAATGTTTTCAACCTCAACTGCTAAGCTATGACGTCTCAACTGCTAAACTGTGACGTCATAGCCTATGACACTGTGTTAAGAAAAGGCAGAGGCAAATTAAGGGAAAATAAAAGAAAGTGTAATTAACAGAAAACTCAATGATTGTAGTTGGATATGGAATTTATTTCACTCGTGCGATAGGATTTTTTGGTATTTTCACTGGTGCTTCGCACTCGTGAAAATATATTGAAAAAATCCTCTCCCACTCGTGAAATAAATTTCATATCCAACTACAAAACATTGAATATCCTTTATATCTTTGAAAATAATATTGATCACATACTTTATCAAAAAGATTGAAATTCAAAAGTCTTTTCTGGCTTATTCTTTCAAAGAATAATAGTGTTTCAGAACAGAATCTTTTTCATGTGCACATTTAATCATCAGATGATATCTCTCAAATTATTGACTAATTCTAAAAATATGTGTTAATTAATTTTTATTGCATATTACATAAATTCCCTATTGCTTACCGACAGGTGTCACACGAGCCAGGAATCCCTTTCTTGTCTCCTGACTATCACTGCTGAACTTTACTGTCAAAGATGTGTCAGAAGATGTATAGGTATTTTGTGCTGGGACAGTATCTCCACATACTTTGGCAATAAGGGGGGAACTAGTTGAAGACCCTGTTTTACATCAAGATTGTTTAATATGTGAGTTTATATTCACAATTTTCTAATATACATGATAAAGTGATATTAACAAAATAGTTTTTTAACAAGAGGTCCATAGGCCATATTGCTCACCTGAGCACATTGGCTAGGTAGAAGCAGAAATCAGTTCAGTATTGAAACGTTTCGGGGGGGAGGTGGGGTCAAAAAATTTAAATTTACACTACCTCAGGATGCTTCTATGTCAATATCACTAATCAAGGCTTTGCTGTTCTTAAACAGAAGAATTTTAGAGATTTTTTTTCCATGTATTCCTATGTAAAATTCTGATCGCTGATTGTGGTCCCACCCTACCTACCCTAAATTTGAATAAATTTGAATCTACACTACCTGAGGATGGTTTTTTTTTATTAATATGACTGAACATAGCTCTGCTGTTCATGTGCAGAAGATTTTTTCAAGATGATTCCTATATACTCTTATGCAAAACTTTGACCCTCTGTTGTGCTCCACAACCCCTGGGGGGTCATAATTTGAACAAACTTAATTCTACAATATGTAAGGTTTCTTGAATTTAAACATAACTAATAATGGCTTAGTTGTTCTTGAGAAGAAGATTTTGAATACATGTCCTATGAAACGTGTATGATCAGGTTCTTACAAGGGATATATAGGTTTTCCTTTTACTCTGAGTTATTGATTGGAATGATTATTAAGACAGCTGATAGATAAGAACCGGGTGTCTCAATCTTCTTCAGATTTACTACACTCAGAACTTAACAACAATTCCCTAGGATACTTGCCACTGCTGTTTACAACTTTTATACTTTTATTTTGCTGTTACCCTTAACTTCTTTATTGCTGATCAAAGCTCAATTTTTTCAGCTAGCTTCTGAATGCCTTACTTTCCCAAAGCTTTGCCTTATATACCCTTTGGGTTGTCGAGTCAATCTACTATGTGAAGTCTTCTATGCGTTTACTCAAAGGCTCCTTAACCGTTAGACCTATATATTCCTTTGTAAAACTTTGACCCACTGTTGTGCCCCCCCCCCCCCCCGGTCATTATTTGAAGAAACTTGAATCTACACAACCTGAGAATACTTCTGTATTAATATGACTAATAATGGCTTAGATGTTCTTTAGAAGATTTTTAAAGATATTCCTATGGTAACCTTTGACCCCCTGTTGTGGTCTTGCCCTACCCCCAGGGGTTATGATATGAACAAACTTGAATCTAGATTATGTTATGAAGCTTTCATATTTCATCTTTTCTTGCTCAGTGGTTCTTGAGCAGAAGATGCCACCAAATTTTCATGAATTCTTATTTATCTACCCTTGAAAGAGGTCGTGGCTCTCCCTGTGAACAAAATTTTATCCCCTTAACCCAAGGATGCTTTGTGGAAAGTTTGGTTGAAATTAGGCCAGTGGTTCTTGAGAAGAAGTCAAAAATGTGAAAAATTTACAGACGACAGACAGACGCCGGACACTTTTTGACCAGAAAAGCTCACTTTAGTCTTCGGCTCAGGTGAGCTAAAATACGGAAAGCCTTTGCTTTGCTTCAGTGAATGTTAAGTAATGTGTCTAAGCTCTCAAAAATAAGATGATGTACATATTTCTTAAAGGAAACTATTTCTTTTACCATTAAAGATTTCTACAGAATCGAAGCAGGTTCCACTGTCTAGCTCCAGTTTCATATATATGAACTCAATCTGAACATTTCCGTTTGAATAAGTGTATATGTACGTGCAGGTGCGGCTTCTAAAACAATAAAAAAAATATTACTTTAAGGAATACTAAAGAAAAATATACAAATAAAAAATATTCATGAATAAAATACTCAAAATACTAATTTTCCTTTTTTATATATAGTAGGCTCCTTCACCTCCTGTTGTTTTCATGAAGAATATACCCGAAAATATATCTTAAGGTCAAGATCTAGTAAATGAGTTTAGACTGTCTTTTTGGTGCTAGATTCATTATGACGTCATAATTGATTTAAACTTAATTTTTCCCGAACTTTACGGCTATAATAGAATTATGTAGAAAATGAAGCATTTTCATGAAATTCAATTTGAAATCATGTCAAAAGTAACCCCGATACCTATTTTTAATTTAATATCATTTTAAAGAAGAGGTCAAGAAGATATGAAAAACTGTTTTCTGAGAGACTGTAGGCAATATTGATACATTTCCATTTTCTGAGATGGAAAAAACTCCCATATTTATACCTGACTTCCTTCATTTTTCATTGAAAATGACAGTTTAGAATATCTTTTTTCGTTGAATTTACCTAAAAATTATGTCCCGATACACCTAATTTTACCAAGCTATATTTGTAAAGGATCATTTAAAGAACTTGTTTCTCAAATTTGAGAAATCTGAAGGCACCTTTCATTTAATAGATCTTGACCTTAAAACAGCGTAAAAGATCCTATACTTACAAGGGATAATTGGCGGGAAATTGGGGTGACGTCAGTGTCAGTGTGGCAGCAAGATTAACGTTGAATGTCCCAGACGCTGTACAATTTGCTGAAAAAAAGTTAGTTATGAACAGATACTTTGAAGAAAAGCCCAATAAATTAGCAAAAGCAGTCATCAGTTGAACTTTATTCTGTGCCTAAAGAGATTGAATTATCAAAATGATACTTGGCAGCTTAAAAAAATAACAATCTAATGACTAATAAATAATACGATGTAAGTTGTAAGTGTGATACTCTTATATATTTCTAGAACGTCATTTGGGGATTGGGATATTACGAGTACATAAATACAAGTTAAATAGCCAAAATCCCAGTTGATATCCACAGTTAAAGGATTGAAATGTGAGAACAATTTTTCAGTTTACGTTTAATCTATATTAATTATAGTGTTGTGTTTTGCATGTTCTATGCCTAAATAGGAGTCAGAGTTTGACACATGGTGTACGAGCCGGAAGCGAGTTCACTATGTCAAACCCTGACTATACTGATAAGGCATAGTACCGATTTGTCTTTTGTTTCGAGTTTACTAGTATAATAATATCGAGTTGACATATGAATAAAAATAACTATTATTAATTGATAAAACATACTCGATATATTGAAATACCTCCTTGAAACAAAATAAAATTGATATACGCATAAAGAGGAAGGAATTTTCTTCAAGACTGTCATTTCCGATTTTTGTTTAAAAGAGGCATATTTTTAAAAAAAAAAAACATAAAAAGTGAATAAAAATTATTATCCATCCCAAATGCAAAGCTGTACGTAAAATAACACGTTCTAACGCAGTGTCGGAATTGGTCTAGTGGTTAAGCAGGTGGGCACTACGTATATTCTTTTACCTGATAATGGGTTCGAATCCTGGAATGTCTTGTATATTAAGAATTTCTTTTCATATATCATGGAAGTGCAATGAAATATCTCTTGAGAGAGAGAGAGAGAGAGAGAGAGAGAGAGAGAATGTCAAGAAATTAAGAATTAGCTTTTTACAAGTAATATTTTAGATGCATGCAGAATTAAATTGTTTTCCTCTATACTGTGATCTAAAACTAATAAAACAAACTGCTATTATTTAGTTGAGTGGCGATGTCATTCTTATTTCGGTTCTTTTTTTGACCGTTAAGTGACCCTGATTTGTCTTGAAACAACTCAATTGAAATGGCTCAATGGAAAGTCTTGGATGTAGCATCAACGTGATTATTGGTCACAGTTTTATGTATTGAAATATATTCACGCACGTTGTCTACAGTACATCTTAACTTTCAAAATGCAGAGCGAGGTGCATTGACCACTGTTGTCTTTTTATCTTACTAAGCTTTCTCATACAATATAGCGACAGTGGCACATACATGTATAAATGTAAAAAAGTCCACCAACAGGTCACCAGTCGGTTGCTATGTTATGAAAAACTGTGCATGAAATAAACGTAAAATGTGAAGTGTTTTGCTATAACAAGCTGGGAATACCCACCCTATAGATAAAGTCGTTTCTGCAACACCCTCTATACAATTTTTTAAAATCATTTATAGGACATTATTGAGAAACTTTGAATGAGAAATGAAACTTATTAATTTTACTTATGTAAACATATATTTAGCTTTCATTTTAATGATTTTTAAATAAACCTTTGTATCATCTGTTCCTAGATAAAACTTCATTGATCTGACTTGGAAATGCTTTACGAACATATATTTAAACGTCTAGTTGACTGATTGATTATTCTTAACGCCGAGTCGCAGTATAACAGCCATATTTCGACGGGACGTTTAATTAAAAGTGATGAAAATAAAAGTGACTTGACTTAGTTGTAGTGGAGCTGATATAAAAATAAATAAACATACACAGATCTAGAAAGACCATAAACAAGCCAAAGGACTGAACTATGTATTTTTTAATATTATACTTTCACGTAAATTAGTTGAATCTGATTCGTCGAGAAACATTTGTTAAAAACACTATTACCAGCTGAATAATGAAGCCACGCCCTCCAGCGTAGCAACAGTCAACACTGCTTGGCGACGGGTGATATTCCCAACAACAAAAAAATATATTGACTGCGCAGAGTTTATGCGCGCAAGGTTCACTGTAATATGTATTTATGTTCCCCAAACGAAGTTTGGGAACATATTGTTTTTACTCTGTTTCTTATTATTATTAAGTCTTCCGTTCACAACGGAAGACTTATAGTGATTGTATTGTTTCTTTTTATTATTATTATTATTATTATTATTCCTCCCAAATTTTGTGAGCGCGATTACTCAGAGATGGTTGGATAGATTTTCACAATTTTTCACATGATAGTAGGCTGATATATGAAGTTTATATAAAATTCCGTTTTTTGAAAAATTCACTTCCGGACCGAAGTTACGGCCGAATTTCCAATTTTTAAATGGACTTTTGTCCGGAATTTTTCTCGGAAACGGTTTGAGGTAAAGATGTGAAATTTACAGGGGTATTAGATCATGACATTCTCTTTGTTTCGAAGTTGTTTTCGTGTGTTTCCGGTACTTCCTGTCCGAACCGGAAGTGAACTTGTGTTTGGTCAATTTTCAACTTTTTTGTTTTTCAATATTTTTTCAAGATATTATTATGTATAACAGAGGTTATTCTACAAATACTAAATATATAATTTGTTTTGAAATCAGATTCCACATTTTGCAGATTTTCGGTACCCCCATTTTCCCTATATACCTAGTGTGTAGACAATGGGCAAAGAAAGATAACTCTGACTTGTAAGTGAGAATAGAACTTTCGAGATAAAGGCGGAAATAGTATCGATGACGTTAGAGACATATACACTCTCCATATCAAAATATTTAGACGTTCTATATTCACTCTTCAAAATTTAAGAGGACGTTGGTTACCGCTTCCAGTGCATGTAAAGTTTGAAGTTGCCAGTGTAGTGTTAGTCTGTATTGACAGTTAGTTAATTTACACATGAATATATCTAAAAAAAAATTAATATATATATATGCTAGGTAGCTAATTCAAGTAAATATATTATAAGCACTGAATATACATTTATAGTGATGGACAGGCATGCAGTTTTATCTATTTCGTATATTAAGTTCAGAATACGATAGTTATAAGCCTTCTATAATGCAGACGATTTATTATTCTTTATGATCTGAATGCGAAATTATCCCGATTTCCGAGTTTTACTTTCGATATTAAAAAATATTACATACACTCAAAAAAGGAATTAAGCGAAAGAAAATTGTAATACAGTACTGTTTTAAAGCCTTTATAAATAAATTGATATCTGCCACTGAAAAGAAAGAAAATCAATCTATAGATTAGATTTGGTTATTACATATATATTTGATAAAAGGTTAAATTATTTATGACACATGATCTATACTCTATATACCCAAGGAATTATAAAAGATGTGAAAAGGCGATTCTTGGATTCTTGTGAAATACTCAAAGAGTTAAAGAGTGTGTGAAATAATGGTACGCTATATGTTTCTTTTGGAAAAAAAAACATGATAGAAAAATTGTACAAGTCTGTTGATATGTGGGATAAGTATATCTGAATGAACACAATTTTATGCAATGATATATAATCATGTACATGCAACTGACGTCCGTACTTTTCCTTGTAATTCATAAAATTATCTAATTCCTTTGAAGCCCCCCCCCCCCCCCCCCGGTCTTGAATTTGAATTATATATTCGTTTTAGATTTAAATCTGGAACATGTGAATAACATTACCATTTACATGTATACAGAATTTCATATTTTATAATTATGAAATGTTCAATTTACATGTCTGAGAGAGAGAGAGAGAGAGAGGAGAGATTCCCTCTTAATCCCGATCCAGACCAAAAATTAGTTCTTTATCGGTCACACCCATTCTTTATTAGATGTTTTCTGATTTCATAGTCAGTCATGGTCACATCCTGTATATTTTTCAGCTTAAAAAGTATCACACGAAGTGCACGTGTGTTGACCTGTCAATCAAAATCACTTGACGCTGTATGCACTGCAATTAAGTAGCCTGAGTTCGAAATGATCTTGAAGTATGATCTTTAAGTAAATCTGCTGCAACAAACTTGTGAAAAAAAATAGAATAAAATAAAAAATAAAATATCTCGGTATTATGAACTTCGACTGTGGGACGTGGAGACCGGTCCTTTGGATGAGATCGTATAAATCGAGGTCCCTTGTCGCAGAAGATGCTGGCATAAAAAAGATTCCCCACTGCTCAATTGCGATAAATGCCAAAGTATAGGACAAAAATTTACAGTCTCCACCGGCGAGTGGTGGCGTCTCCATGTGAGTGAAAAATTCTGGAGAGGGACGTTAAAACATACGTATAATCAATCAATATATCAATCAATCAATCGATTGCTGAAGAATTACTGTAATTGAATAATTTGTCTTATAGGTATGTTGTCAAATCTTGATATTATAACTTTACAAAACTCAGTGACTTTACGTTTAATGTGATACTAAATTAATTCATTATATTTTTTATAACACCATCACATTTATGCCAAAACATACACACAGTGAAGTTTATGATAGTACGGTGTTCGTTCGTCTGTTTGTTTGTCTTAGAAATGATTGCAAACATTTTTTTTTAAATTGCTAATGATATACGTATATCTCTTATAGGTGCCAAATGTATTATACAAGATTGATAATGAAAATCAAAGTACCTTAAGTACTGAAAGGACTTTTTTCCAGTTATTTTTTTCTTTCACAGTAAAGATGATATGTATGTTTTTTACACAGAAAAAAGCAAATTCTTACAGATTTAGAAGAACGGAAGACTTTTTTGTTGCCATGGCAACAAGAATCTAGTTATTATTATTATTATTATTCCTCCCAAATTTTGTGAGCGCGATTACTCAGAGATGGTTGGATAGATTTTCACAATTTTTCACATGATAGTAGGCTGATATATGAAGTTTATATAAAATTCCGTTTTTTGAAAAATTCACTTCCGGTCCGAAGTTACGGCCGAATTTCCAATTTTTAAATGGACTTTTGTCCGGAATTTTTCTCGGAAACGGTTTGAGGTAAAGATGTGAAATTTACAGG